GAAACACACACACATATATATATATATATATATATATATACAGATGTACACACACACACACACACACAGAGATATATATATATATATTTGTTGTTGCAGTGATAAACACAACAAATGCACAAGTAAAAATATGTAAATAATAATAATAGTGTCTATATAGTTTTTATTAATTTTATTTTATTTCAGTTTTAGTTTTAGTTCATTTAGTGCATAAAGTTAAACAAAAATGAGGAAGTTTGCTGAAATAAAATACGTTTATTTATTTTATTTTATTTTATTTTATTTCAGTCAAAATTTTTTATTAATTTCATGTAACAAATTTTTTGTGGTTTTGGTTTTAGCTTTAGTTTTCGTTAATAACCCTGATTCCAGTGTGTTCAGAAGTCACCCGGATGTTTTTGTTGATGTTTAGTCACTATGAACTGCTGTTAAATGAAAACAGCTGTGTGAAGATTCTTTATAAATGTGTCCCACAGTAAAGAATAGCAGCGTATGTGACTGAGGTGACAGTGTCTGTGCCTGGATGCTGATGTTGTGTGTGCTGGCGGGGAAACAGGCCAGTTTGTCATCATTGCAGCATCAGGAGCAGCGCAGCAGCGGCACACAGCCGGGATTGTAGATGTGCTCGACTCCTGCTCCACCTCCACCATCCACTCCAGAGAACGACACTGACTGCGCTACATTTTTACATACAATAACAAAAACTTCTCTTTTTTTTTTTATCCAGAGTTGATCTAGATGAGTAGCCTATATGGAAACGATCCAAAGTCCTGTTCATCCTAAATCAGTGAAAACTGCATCTCTATATTCATTCTTTGTGTCCTCTTAAGATGTAAAGTAATTATTATTATTTTTTGTTAACCTGGCAACACATCCCTTACGAAAATTAACTATATCAGAATCAGAATCAGAATCAGAATTAGCTTTATTCGCCAGGTGTGTGCAAACACACGAGACCAAGTAGCGACAAACCATGGCTGCCATCCGCGGCGCCATCTTCAGCGTTTTTATATGGTTAATAAAAAAACCACCATGGTAACCACAAATTAACCACGGTTTTGCTAAACTACTGACCATAGTTTAACCATGGTATTTAGTAAAACTGTAAATATTCGCGATAAGCGCTCTGAAGTTCTGATCTGAATAAAATTATTCTTGATATGCGATCCGATTGGAGCGATTCGAAACAGTAAATCATTTTGTGACACATGGTTTAACTGATTCTGTGTTCTGATAAGCTCAATTTCAAAGACGTACTTTTCTAGTGTATTTCTTTAACTTCTCAGGTAATATCAATGATGTGAAATATTTCAGATGCGGCCGAAATTACAACAACAATGGTTACATATAGGCCTGTTTAATTGTTTGATCAAAATTATTGCTATAGGGACTATTTAGTAGTCGCTGGATATTGGTAGGAACATGTCATCCCTTACAAAAATTAACCTATTGTAGTAAAAGTGTAGTATCCATGATTTTTGGCGTATTGATTACCATTTGTATAACCACAGTTTTACTACAAATACCATGGTTAAACTATGGTTAGTCTAGCAAAACCATGGTTAATTTGTGGTTACCATGGTTTAACTAGGCTATAGTAACGATAGTTTTTGGTTTTATTTGTAGTAAAAACATGGTTAATTTTCGTAAGTGTTAGCGTCCCTAGTAAGTTCTACGCCTTTGCTATAAATGCTAATAAATTAATAAATAATTAGCCTAATAAAGAAGCATGGATAAATGAGAAAAAAAGAGCGGAATGTAATTGACATTAAAAAGAAATACTAAAAGCGCATAATAAAATAATAAATAAAAGCCTCGAATGAAAGAGAATCGAAAAGATCCATTTTCATTGAGAAGCTCATCAATTAGAACCATAAAGAGACCATAATATTATTAGAGACTAAATTAATTTATTGCAATGATTCAATCTCCCATTCACTTGCTTCATTCCGGAATGAATCAGCTGTTTGAACGAATCGATTGAATGAACGGTTCAGTGACTAAGACTTGCCGCCACCTACTGGCTGTTTTAGTTTCATCTATAAAGTATTATTTCAGTTATCTAAATCAATATTTGTATATCCAAAACTTCATATTTAAAACATTATTCTCATAACATTGCTATTATGAATTTATTTGCATTCATGCCACTTCCAACGCCTTGTAAAACAGTCTGTAAATATATCAGAATTCTCTTCTGTGCCACATATAGTGCCAAGATTAAATTTGTTGATAGTACTGATTTCATTTTATTTGTATCTTTCTGATTTGATTTCAATTTAAAATTTAAAAAATGAAAAAAGTTTAGAAATATAAATGTATGAATTTTACATAAAAATGACACATTTAATAATAAGGTTAGGAAAATGGCATTACAAAGGTGCCACTGCAAATCACTTTGAAAGTCAAATATCAGCTTATAATGTGAAGGTTAACTTTTGTCATTGATCAGAAGGTGCTCCTGATTTTTTGACTGTGCTCCTTTAAAAAAAAAAAAAAAGCTCATTCTCCCTTTTTTTTTTATAAAACACAAGGGGTCAATAATAAAAGACCACCACTTATTAGGAGTATAGAATTTAACATGGAAAATAATCTTACCTTTGGAATGGGAATTGCCCAGAATGGTTAAAACCTGTTTAAAAGAAAAGGGTAATTAATAATAATAATAATAATAATAATAATAAACTTTATTTGTATAGCACATTTCATACAAGAAGAGCAACTCAAATGGCTTTATAATAAAAAAAATTAAAACTACTTTTTAACAAAACCAATATAAATCAAGAAATAAAGCTGAAATGCATCTTTGTATCAAATGAAAAAAAGCAACCGTTTGTATCCAAAAATTTGTAAGAAAATGCATTTGAGCTCAGCTTTTTTGTTTTTAAATAAGTCTTTCCTGCTCACCAAGGCTGCATTTATCTGCTCCAAAATACAGTAAAAATTGTGAAATATTATTACAATGTAAAACAGCTGTTTTCTATGTTAATATCTGTTAAACTATAATTTATTTCTGTGATCAAAGCTGTATTTTCAGCATCATTACTCCAGTCTTCAGTGTCACATGATCTTCAGAAATCAGTATAATATGCTGATTTGCTGCTCAAGAAACATTTCTGATTATTATCAATGTTGAAAACAGTTGTACTGCACAATATTTTTGTGGAAACTGTGATGCATTGTGATATTACAACCGTGATATTACCATTCAATAATTTGGGGTCAGTAAAGAAACTAACGCTTTTATTCATCTGCGGTGCATTAAATTGATCAAAAGTGACATTTATAATGTAACAAAAGATTTCTATTTCAAATAAATGCTGTTCTTTTGAACGTTCCATTCATCAAAGAATCCCCAAAAATGGAATGCATCACAGTTTCCACAAAATAATTGGGCAGCACGACTGTTTTCGACTGTTGTGTGTGTCTCACCGCTTCATAACTAATACTTAATATTAGCCATTCAATCCTGTCTGTTTTCATACGGCACTAAAACTGGGTCTGTCGCCACGGTAACAGGCTCAAACCCGGAGCATCTCGCAGCACGGCACGTTTGTTTTCAGACACACGGACTCGGGGACAGGCACGTCTCTGCGCATCCACATGAGAGACGAGAATGAGGTTCTCCCATTGTGTCTGTGCACTGAACCGAGCCTGACTGAAGGGCCCTGGATGCTCGTCAGTGGGCCAGTCTTGGCTCCCACCCATCGTCAGGGCCGTTTGTACACCTACATACATTAAGTAGAGCGCACAGGGTCTCAGATCTCCAAAAGAGAGGGACTAACTTTAGCCAGGAGACGTGCAGCTCTGAGGCTTTCATCACATTCCAAACACGTATGAAACACAAATACATAAAAAGAGAAATACATATTGAAAACTGAGTAATCTTCATGCAACTCTTTTCCATACAACGACCACAACTGTCAAACAACACCATAAAATCATCATCTCAGATCTTCATTCCACTTTGGTTCAAATTAGTGTCACTTTTGTTTGTTAAAAAAAAAAAACTTTGCGTCAATTTTCAAGATTTCACATCTTAGGGAAAAACAACACAACCCTGCTTCTTGAAAAGTAATTTCTGCTGATTTGCAAAAAATTTCTAAAATGACTTAATTGTATGATGCTGAGATAGAAATATCAACAAAAACACAATAAAAAATTAGAATGAGTTTTTAAAAATACATATACAGTATGTGACCCTGGAGCACAAAACCAGTCATAAGGGTCAATTTTTTTAAATTGAGATTTATTCATCATCTAAAAGCTGAATAAATAAGCTTTCCATTGATGTATGGTTTGTTATGATAGATCAATATTTGGCTGAGATACAACTATTTGAAAATCTGGAATCTGAGGGTGCAAAAAAATCTAAATATTGAGAAAATCGCCTTTAAAGTTGTCCAAATGAAGTTCTTAGCAATGCATATTACTAATCAAAAATTAAGTTTTGATATATTTATGGTAGGAAATTTACAAAATATCTTCATGGAACATGATCTTCACTTAATATCCTAATGATTTTTGGCATAAAAGAAAAAAACGATAATTTTGACCCATACA